TATGAGAAATGAGGTTTCTTTCACTGCAAACGTTGGTGGCTACTTGGTAATGGTTGCACTGCAAACATTTTAAAGGATTAAGCAACACATAATAAAGTAATTACACCATGAATTAAAACAGACATACCTTGCTGGATCCCTTGGAAAGTTGAAGAATTTGATGCCTTGCTTGCTGGATGACAAGCACCCAGCAGCAGCAAATGTCGTTTTCGTGTTTATACTGCAAAAAGCAATACAAAAATTATAACACCATCACGGTACTCTTAGAAATCCTTCACACTGGACAGACAATCTCTGGGATAAACAGAAAGTTGCAGAACATATCATAAAAAAATATCATTTAGATGACAGTTCATGATAACCTGAAAAATTTTAGGCCTGAAAGAATTCTATGTTTCTAATTCCATTTGTGGTAGTAAGCATAATATTCATATACACAAATAATATGTTTGACATGCAGCTGTAATTTCGTTCGCAAATGTCTACTTTCGTTTCGCAACCACATGAAATCAAAATTCATACCTACCAATTTGCATATAATGCACCACCATAACCGCACATAACCGCACGGAATTGTGGGTATTCAAGTTGGTTTGTTTAGGCTCTCTGATTGGTTGAGCCCAGCGTGAGTTTCGTCCGCCGCTCTTAGAGGCAGTAGTTACCGTGTTGCCTTTTCCCCTATTCAAGATTCCTCCCCCTGGTCAACAGAGGTGTAACGTGTTACGTGGCGGAAGGCCACGTCAGCAGCGATGATGTAATCAACAGTAGACAGCAGCACATATATCATCAACACTCGGCAACAGGCACTCAGTTGCAAGTGGTGTTCCGGACGTGTCGGTTCAGAGGGTGGAAGGAGTAGTTACGCTAGAATAATAGAACGCTATATGCACTGTAGTTGTATTCATCTATAGAGTGAGGCTGTTATAATAATAATTTGCGTTCGGTAAATTGAATAACTATTAGTCCGTGGCTTACGGTTCGCAATTGTAAATCTAATAATATAACGAGTGACGTACAAGGCGATATCTACAAATTTCAGCTGATTTAAAATGGGTCGTTCAGCTCATGCAGTAATGATTGTGATTAAAAAGACATTGCTGGTTTGTTTGTTTATGTTATTAATAAGAAGTTGTGATGCGTCGTTTCTTGATTGGTTTTGGGGTGGAACCGTTGATGTTCCCAATGTTAAGGTACATTTTGAAATAAGCACTGAAGATGAAAAATTTCTGCAAGAAGCAAAGAAATACACGAGTATGAAGATGTCAGACCTAGACGACTGCCAACATCGAGTGAGTAAAACCATTCATGAAGTTCGTTCATTGTTCAATGTACAAATTATTTAAGAAAAAAAATTAATTCGCTTAGTGGGGGTTAGAGTCCAAGTGGGTCCACTCGGCACGGCGGCCACTGATTGGCCTATTATAGCCTACCCTGAGTGATTATGATGATGGAGAATTCGGTGGAAAGAAGATTGGCAGGGGAAACCGAAGTACTCGGAGACAACCCGTCCCAGTGCCACTTTCTCCACCACAAATCCCATTTGACCAGACCCGGGATTGAACCCGGGCCGACGCGGTGGAAGCCAGCGACTAACCGCTTAGGCGATGGCGCGGCCTTACAAATTATTTACGTTCCGTAAATCCAGATACGGGTAGACACTATAGGATACAGTATAAATACAATGACATCTGTACAATAACAGTCTAGTTGAAATATGAATAAGAATACAAATTATATATATATAAGTTAATTGTACTTATGCATTACAATTTGAGCCTGTTAACTGAAACAGTGACAATGAGTACATCGCTAATAAGTAATAAGATTATGAATTACGTATTTTTTTAATTCCTGGTCGGGTGGGAATAAGTCCCTTGTACTGCGGCTACTTGTCGCCTATTGTACCAGCTCCAAATGACAGATGAGGGTGATTGTGGAGCAATTGGTGGAATGAAGATTGGCAGGGGAAACTGAAGTACTCGGAGAAAACCTACCCCAGCGCCAATTTGTCCATCACAAATACCACTTGACCAGACCCGGGATCGAACCCGGGCTGCTGCGGTGGGAAGCCAGCAGCTAACCGCTTGAACTATGGCGCGACAATAAATTACGCAAGTACATGTTAATTATACTGTTAATGTGGTAACCGATATAATGGAAATTTGTATAAGGTTAAAAAATATGAATTCTTTGCAGGTTGTCGTGAATATTCATAAAAGATGTTCGGATCTGACAGAGGAAGAACTGGCCAGAATGAGCGTAAATCTATTGAACTGTCAGTCTGCAGTGGAGGGGAGACAACATTTTCCCTGTACTACCAGAATGGTAAGTTGAAAGGATAATGGATGTTCATTGGGTGGGGGTTGAGTAGCAGCCAGCAGACTACCTGTATTGGTGGTTTGATATTTACTGAAATAATCTTGCCACATACATTTTGTTTTTCTGTGTTAATGTTAGGTTAGGTTAGGCACTCTACAAATTCACTTCCGTCTTTAATGCAACTCAGTTCACAATCTCACCTAATTTAAAAATAACATTAAAATTACAATCAGCTTTCATGTGTTTCGGTTTTATGTGGCCATTCATTCATTCATTAATTTTATTAAGCATTCGTAATTTCAACAGTAGTAACACTTGAAGAAGTCACATCATTAAATACATCATTCTTGAAATGATCTTGCCCAAATGCCTAAAATATTATAATTTTCCAACAATAAATAATTATCACGAAGCGTCAAGCAGTTCCGTCTAGTGTGCTGGTGAAGATTTTTCTTATTTCAATTATTTACACCCTTATGTATTTCAGTCTTCAGAGACCATCATCAGAGGGACACCTTTACATCAATACATTTGGAAGCTACTATTACAATATATGTTGTGATAGTTAAAATGTATACATGTAATATTAATAATATATAATTGGGTATAAATACTAAAGTCTTGACAACTACAGCGGCTGTTCCAATACGTTAAAATATTTATAATTGTTTTGTTAAAACTATTTGAGTTCGTAAACCAAGCGGGTTCGCGTTGTCCTTCTTATTATTTCTCTTTGATGGGGGCCAAACGTGTGCCTCCTTGTCGTTCTTGAGAAGAGGGTTCTGCAAATATATTATGGGTATAATGTATAAATTATTATATAAATAAATAATTACCCCTGACATGGTTGAACCTACAATTAAAATATAACACATACTATCAGAACCAGATAAATAATCAAATTAGATACAATACATAAATTGAAATGCAAATCAATTTAAGAAAATGGCTATCATATTAGTTTTGTTAAACTTATTAATTTATAGAGAGAATTTTAAGAGTATCTCAGTAAATCAGAAGTCCATATGACCATATCAGTCACCGATCACATTGAGATGCTACAAGCAACCATTTGTTATCTGTTTCATTTGATGAACAGAGGTTTTGCTATGCTTACTGCTGTCCCTCTAAAAGAAACTCATACAATGTATAGAATGGATGATCTAGTAAAATTACTTTTAGCTTACATTTAAAGTTTTTATGTCCATCTGAATTACTTAATTCCAAAGGCAGTCTGTTATGCAATTTAATATCCATATTGATAACACTTTTCATAAAAGTTGATGTGTTACAATTTGGCACATGAAAATAAGCTTTCCTTCTAGTATTATATTCATATAAATCTGAATTTCTCCTAGAGTATAAATTATATTTATGAAATTAGCACAACACCTCAAAAATATACAAGGAGGTAAGAGTTGAAATCTTTAATTCTTTAAAAATAGGTCTGCATGATGTTCTGCTATTTACACATTTCATTAAATGAAGTGTCCTTTTTTGTATATTCAATACTTTGGCATTTTCACTTTCTCCGCCCCAAAAAATCAAACCATAACTTACTAAGGATTGAAATTTGGCAAAGTAAATATTTCAAGGATTTAATAATATTCATATTAGACACAAGGACTGAACATGTGAGCTGAACTTTAGATTATTTGTTATCTTGATACCTAAAAACCTGAACTGTGATGTATAAATTCACAGGCAGCTGCTAACATTTCATAAGCACCGCACAGCACTGGTTCTGAAGTCTAAATATTTCAGTGCTATTACATTTTATCGTTCACACCAAAGTACATTTTTTAAGAACTCAGCTTTTTACCCTTTCCTGCCCTATTTTCCTCTTGTGGCATCCATGTTTTTTTTGTGATGTTTTATTTAGCTCTATGGACATCAGTGTAGTGTTGTAATCATCATTATTTTTATGTGCCCCATTAGTATGTGCGTTGCCATGCTGACATCCATTAGGGCTGAATAAAACAACACAAACGATCATGGATGCTGGAAGAGGAAAATAATATATAAGTACATGCAGTGTGTCAGCAAAAAAGACAGAATGACTATGTGAGAAATGCAATTTCAGAGCCTTCAACAGTGCACAAGTTCGATGGACCCAGACATGTGGAATGCATACCATCTGATGAACAACCGAGCCAGGGCCGTTTGTTATGCTGCCAGAAACCAGCAGTTTCGAGCTCTCACAGAGATGACAGTCGACAAACTCATGGACTCTGCACACAGCCACCTCAACACGATGGACTCTCTCAAGGTAAGCGACAAAAGGAGATGGAAGTGTCATGTTATGCTTATTGATTCCAAGCCATGGAACTCAGAGTGTGGTCAGGAGAAGAAGACAAGTTTCTTGTGTGTTGCTGAACTGGAAGGTCCATTCGCCTCCTCCATGGTTCTGTAACAGTAAATTTGTATAGGGTCGGGTTGTTAGGCCCACACCCAACCCATAACCTGGAGGACCAGGGACTCCACTTTGTCTGGTTCCTACCATTTTACCTGTCTGAGATGGGTTGCCCTACCAGGAGCTTACACTCACGCCAGCATAGCTCAACAGGTCACTGGGGCGTGAGAACCTCTCCATGATGAGGTGGTAGTCCTCAAGGAGGAAAGGTTCATGGTTGTCACCTCAAAAGCCCATCACACCCAGTTCACAGCTTTACAGTCTGTTTCTATAAGCTCCTTCATGTTAATCTCACATATGTCCTAGAAATGAATGAAAAAACCTCACATCTAGGGTTGGTTGCATTTCTCAGAGTACAAGGGACAGTCTGTCACATTATCATGTGCTCCATCTGCAGGCCTAATTAAATTAGAAGCCTAAAAATTAAAATTTTAATTCACTTTGTCTTTATTTTATGGAATACAAAAGCAGAAATATTGTATTTCATGTGCATATATTAAGTCACTGTTGGTGAACAATGTCTCTAGAGATATTTTGAAATTCACTCTCTTATTATGCCAGCATTTCACCTTGTGATCAACTCTTGGCAACTTTATGCTTATCTATGTTGCAGGAAGACCATCAGAAGTTGGAATCACTGACAGCTAGTACATTGGAAGCTGTGTCTGATGGCCACCAGTCCCTTATGGATCAGCAGGAGAAGTTAAGAGTTACCCAACACAGCATTCAGGATTTCGTAGCCCTGAATCTGCGAGAGCTGACACGAGAGAAAGTGCTGATAGCATCAGGTCACCATGAACTTGTCAAGATGATGGATGATGTCAGAAACAAATTAGGTGAGTATGATTTGGCGATTTGGATTGTTGCACTAGAAATTCCTCCTCCAAACTCAGATGAATGTCCTGGAGCAATGTTTAACACCCTTACTTAATGTGAGGAATGTCTGTCTTCTACAGATAATATCTCTCGACAGATTTGCGGAAAAGTAGAGCACTCATCCTCATGACTCCAGTTGAACTGAAACATGCCAGTCTCTGCAGTTTACTAAGTTTGGCCCTGCTGATTTCATATTTAACAACCTCATTCACCCCACTGGGGCATCATAAGTGATCATGGACTCCTCCTACTGCCCACTATAATAATGGTCTTGTTTGTGTGTGACAGATGAGGCGAGTTTGGAATTCAGCAGCCAGGTGAACGAGCGCCATGAGAATCACAAGCAACTGCGGGAAGATCTGCAGACTGTCATGGAGCAGGTGGCTCTCCTCTGGCAGAGGATTGGTAAGGATGCTTCATGTGTACACAGGACCTTATTGCTAGTCCCTGTTCTGTGCTGGATGAATCTAATTAACTTCAGTAACAACCAGACCTCTCCATCTGTCTGTCTTCCCAAAGCTTCTTTGCCTTCTCAGTTTCCTCCCATATTCTTCCTTCCTTTCTGTCATTTCTTTCCTGATCTCTTGTTCTTGTTCAAAACCTTTGGGATTCTGGATTCAGTCACTTTTATATTGTGCCTTTACCATCTGACTGTGTTAACTATTAGTCTATTTTACAATTTACTTTTCTTTAAATTCTGTATCATTCTGCCATTTATTATTCTTTCTCTTCTGGTTTCTCCTTCTGTACTTGGCAAAGAATTACATCTCAGCTGCAGTTAGTCTGTCAATATCTGCCTTGGCTTGTGTCCATACTTCTGCACCATGCACTGACATGGGCACAGTAACTTTTAAATAAACACAATTTTGCCATCTCTTTCATGGTCTGATTCCAAAGTAGATCCTAGCGAACTGCTAAGCTCCCATTGCTGTTGCAATGGACTGGAACCCCCCCTCAAATATCCATCACTCTTTGGTTTCTCTCTCTTTAATATTCAGTTTCAGTGATCACACATAAGTGGACTTGGTGTTAAATGACCTTCATTTAACGCTTCCCTCACTTTAGTTCAAGTCCACAAATTGTTCATTGCACCTCAGAACTAACATGCAGTTTATATTCTTGCTCACAGATCACAGCACGCAGGAGATCCTTGCACGCCATGAGTCGGCAAGAGCGCAGTACAACTCGGCACTCTACAAGCTGTCACAGATCAATGCCACAGTCAACTTCCTCCTGGATCTGCTGGACAAGACCAGACAGGTAAGTGTTTGTGGGCACATGCAGTTTGTCGTTGATCAGAACCACAGGGAATTGACAAATTTAAGTTCAGTACATTCCCTTGAAGTACTGAGCAATGTTTGATGAAATTGACTGCTTGGAATTACAATATATACACACCTTCAAGGGTGCCAGCAGGGGGTAAGGGGAAGGGCAAAAAATTGAAAAAGAAAAAAGGAAATAGACTTGTCTTCCCCATTTAAATATTAAAAATAGCACAAAAAATCGTGATCACTTTAATATGGCCAAATTGCTCCATTGGATACAGAATGTGATTTGGTAAGAGGTTGACGAAGATGCGAAACAACTTGCTCAGCAGCACACAAAAGTGTTTGGAGATGTCAGCTTTCAGGTATCAAGGTACTCTGTCCTTCGCAGGAAACTGATACATGCATCCCAGCCATCTGACAGTTAACCGTTTCTCTTGAAACATCCTCCCACACTTTGCAGTTTTATCGTGATGTACATACTGCCACTTGTGTTATTGTGTATCGGGTCCTTTCCCTCATTTTGTCACTGTTTGTTTATGTTTTATTTGTGCAGTTGTGCAGTTGGTGATTCATTTCTGAACTGTTTTTTAGGAATTTGATGAGCGCCTGGGCTGGCTCAACAACCTGATGCCAGATACTGGCAACCAGCTGGATCACCTTTACAGCTGTGTACTTCACTTTCTGTACCTGATTGTGGGAATGATTACTGCAGCATTTATCAGAGCTCCGACCACCTCACGTATTTTTCTCCTCCTCTTTGTGCCTCTGAACCTTGCTGTCACATACTCTCATGGGGACACAGCTGCCCTTAACTTCCCATCCATGACCATACTCATCTTAGCGTCAACAGCAGGTAAGTGTTACTGAGATCACCTCACTGTTTGGTTATGTTGGGTTATATTTACAAGAGAAACAAGCGCAGTGTTGCCTGCTTGTGGAGTTGGCAGTCAAAAAACAAACACAGACTCACCACTTCCATACTGACATGAACACAGATTCATTTTCTGTGGTCAATATGTGTATGATCAGCTTGCTGAGGTATGAACCCAAGACTTTCTGAACTGCCTGAATGAAACGTTTTGTGAATCTTTATTGTACCCTAGAACAGTCAATTTGTCGCTGTCTATAATGGCCAGCTTGCTGAGGTATGAACCCAAGACTTTCTGAACCGCCTTAATGAAACGTTATGTCAATCTTTATTGTGCCCTAGAACAGTCAATTTGCCACTGTTTATAATGGCGCGTGCTTTTTTTGCAGTCTGCTACGTGATCCAGAGAGTGCTACATTATTGGACATCCAGACAGCCGAGACCCCTGTCCAGCCTTCATGGCAGCCAACCACAGCCAATGACCAATGGGTTCATTACTAACCCATTTCCACCTATGAAGCCTGTTGCTGTTATGCTGTCTCAAAGGAGCAGCATAAACATGCTATCACTCTTCGCTGGAGACCCTGGCAGAAGACTGAAGTGTAAGTTGAGTTTGAGAGGATCATGATCAGTGAATGCTGTCAGTCACAGAACACTTCAATTCATATATCTTTGTCTCTTTGCAGCTCTCGTGAACAGATGCCCTAGTCCCATGCCGTCAGTGTCGGCTGCTGCCTCATCCAGAGGGGACTCTCCACGGCCTGATGAGAGGGTCCGCATTCTGACTCCCGTGCGTGACAGAATCCTAGGTGAAGGCTCAAGTGGCAGTGGTGAGGTTGCCCTTGGGCTGGCCCATTTTGCAGAGGTGAGTGGAGACTTCTGTTTATGTCTTGTTCCAGTTACATGAGAGACAGAATGTCATTGGTCTCCCAGCAGAGAATTGTTTTGCTATCATACATCCAGAGGAACCCCCATTTAATGATCTTTGATTTAATATTTTCCCCTAGTTAGCACTGAATTTTGATGATCACAAGTCAATAATCTCAAGGCTAGATTTCCCCTGTTTTGTATTTTCTTCATTTTATTCCTCAGAGTCACTTGTGGCTCCATAGCTTTGCATCATGTTACATGGGATCAACAGAAATATAGAAATATCCAGTCACTTGCACGGGATATTCTCTCGCCAGGCTCCCGTAGCTCATACATTTTACGTGAAATGTTTTCATTCATTCAGAGAGTTGTACTAAATATATGTTATATTTATTTTGTTAGCGCTCTGCAAACTCCAACAGTTGCAGCAGTAACAACTGCCTTGTTCAAGCTGGCACATCACGAACACTGAGGCGGCGCTATTCCACACCGGTCTACTTCCCACCCGCACCCAAACCCACCTCTTCTTTTAGGTGAGTTACTGTCTTGTCACCTTGTTCATTAGTTAAGTATTTTTCACTTCTTTATTTTAACTTAAATTCTTTAAATAATTTTATGTACTTTTGGTAACATTTTTTGTTTTGAAGGATTGTGTGTTAGGGAATTCTGAACAGTAAAAATACTCTTTCTTGCTGACAGGATTGTTTGCCTTTAGAAGGACCATTTTGTAAAATCAACAGAAGGTTAATACTGGGGCCATCACTGCTGTGCCCATTGTTTGGTACAGTTATTCTGATCCAAGTGCATGTGACTGTTCCTAATCCATAGCGACTGCATTCCTGAAATTTGCTGTGCATATGGAAGGTGCACTGAATGAACACGGGCATGGTGCAGCAGTACGAAATGCTCTGATGGATTTATTGAATCAGAACAGTGGGGCAAGGGAGGAGAACTGCTAATGCAACACTTTGGGCATGCGTAACAGCAGATGTGTGAAAACACAACAGCAAAAGCATTATAATGAATGTCAGCCATACTGAACTAAAGAAACTGAACTTTTAATCTGGTTAGTGGCCGTCTGAACTCTCTTGGTTGTCTGGGTCAACGTAAACTTTTGATTTTGGTTCCTCATTTCAGTTTCTGTTGGTGTTGCATTTCTGTTATGTGTGTGACCTCTTGCATTTTTCAGTTCCACCTGATAACTTTCAAATCAGATCACAAGATTGGTTCTTTTGCTCAGAGATCTCCCATTTACGTGGGTTCCACATTTTCATACTGCATAGCCATGAGCGTTTTCTCTGCCTTAACTGTACATATTTAAGTCGCCATATTTTTGGTATCCTTCTGCCCTTAACAATCTGCTTTGTTTTGTTGTCCACAGTGGGACACCTCACCGAGGTCCACCAAGACCTGTATGCCGTGCTATCTGTCGGAATGGCCAACAGTGTCACACCAGTGCATCTGTGGGCAGTGATCTGTGTTGGAGACACGCCTCCTGATCATCCTTTTGCCAGTACTGAAAGTTATTAAAGGTGCCTTCATACTGCAGATGGTCGTACTGTTTAACACTGGTACCCGTGTGGCCCACCCAGCCACTGTGGCAGGTACCTGTCTCAACATCTGAAATGCGGCAGTAGAACTGACACACGTACTGGACATTTTCTGTCATCCTTTTCTGAGTAAAGAAACACGTGTTGGTAGCTAGGAAATCTGCTCTGAAGGGTCTATTATATGCAGCTAATCTTTGCCCGGGTTTGAGGAATGATGGAAAATGCCCCATATATCTGTAAGTCTAACCACACCTTCATCCCATGAAATAGTTATGGTAAACCCTTGCTAATCAGGGTTAGCTGGGAGGGAGAGGTAGAGAGACAGAAGTTACAAATTAACCATCACATGAACTGGACACTGTCAATCCTGTAATTTTAGTTTCCAAAGAGACGTTTAAACTTTGTAATCATATTTATTTATGCTTTATTTTCACTGTCCTATTTTTTATTTTCAACTGTATAGTTTTATAGTGTTTTTCGAAGCATTTGTACTAGTATTCAGTTTAGTTATTTTAAGATGTAGTAGGGAGCACCAGTATTACAGTGTAGTATGATACTGGTCTTGATTGTAGTTTGAGTTGCATACACGGTGCGCTGGCTCTGTTGGAATGCTTGTATATTGCTAAATAAATCTGTAAACTAGAGACTGGCTTCTCTTTATTATTTTATTTCTGATTTACTTAATGATTTTACCAGTAGCCTTGATTGTATAGCATTGAAAGGTAGGACGGGCGAACAGTTAACTGAAAAGGATGTGGGAGGGTGCAGTTGTGCTCTTACTTTGAGGCACTGCCGTGGGAAGTATCAGCTGTAGACAGAGTTCTGTGTCAGCCAATGAAGTTTCACAGAATCCATATGCCTGCTATTTCCACTTACTTCATTAGCACTAATGCCAATCCCTACACAGTTCACTTCAGGAGCACCATTTTTGTGGTTAACTAGAGAAGGATCTCGGAGACGGAGTCTCTACTCTTTATGTGATGTTGCTAAGGTGACTAATTCATAGAGAAAAGTAGAGGCAACAGGTTCCTATGAAATGTTCGTAATCACCTACCAGCATACATTATCTAGAACCCGGAAGATCACATTCTAAATGTTTGCTCCTCTGCTAACCTCAGGTTTCACTCATAAAAATGTTCACACAAACATTACACAATTTTTCTAAGAAATAAATACTTATGGTACGTATACTTTTGCAGCAGTGAATCATTTGCACGTTGCTGTCTTGCTGGGTGTGGCACCATGTTGTAATGTGGCTGGTGGGTACCAGTCTCTTGGAGCCTCGTGGTGGAAACGGCTTCACCTTCCATAACGGGAATTTCTTTTCCAGCCACATATGGTAAGTACAAACTGAGGCGGGCTTCCTGTTGAGGTTTACACGTTTATGTGGGTCATCTAACAATGAAGCCTCTCCGTCTGTCTACCTGAACTGAAAATGCTTTTATAAGTCATGGAATTTCATAGCCTACAACATATGCGTTCTGACATGACTACAGTGAGCATGTTAATAGCACTCAACATAAGGAAATCTGCTGTGAGGTCTAATTACACTACACTGCTCTGACGCTCACACGGTACGGTCTTGTGCCCATGACAGCTGCCCACTGCTGCCTTATCCTTGCATGCTCTCTGAGGCTAGAACTGTTTTCCATTCTTAACACTCTGACTTCCTTCACACTTTACAGAAGGAAATCAGATACCTGACGTTTTAAGCAGAGGCATACCTTAAAAGCAACTGGACACCAATAATATTGAAGATATGAATATTCAGACTTCATTAAAGTAGAATTTGACTCGTATATAACACCACAGGACAGAGGAGATAAAAATATATTACGCCTGCTAGATATAGATAATCACACCACCCTTGCAATAAATTCATTCATCCGAATCATCATTACGGCAGCCGATGTACTACATTCATGAACAGTCCCAAGATTAGGAATTAAAAGGGAGATTGTAAGCTTGGGCTTTGCGTCTTGTTTCAGTAACGAACTTGTACAGTTGGCAGCCCTGAAATGATGGGCAAAAGGTGGTGAATGTTGAAGTTACTTGAAGATCCGTTAATATGTACATACTGACAGGTTTCATGACCTGTCATTTCCACTGTGATCTTCAGCTGCGTCTTGGGAATTTTTATGTAGTTTGTAATTCAGCTCCTGGAATGGGATTCACTCTTGTGTTTGTTATTACAATGTGCTCATATCTTTTTATTCTCTGTGTGTTCTGATGTCTGACAGTTATTTGAATCCTGTCAGTATCGTCAGTATGGATATCTGCCTCCGATGTGTCCAAC